CTATGAATAATAGTCTGCTCACCTAAAGTAAGGAGTATCTCGGAAGTTCTTGATTATTGGGGTATGTCAGGAAGCGGGAAACATGTTCTAGTACACTTAAAATTGAACAATTCTAGATTGTCTGTAGATCTCGCTGCTCAATTTAGGTGGACAACAATATCCTTGGTTGTCGTCAGATGAATGGTCCTTAGGTATTTTTTTTTTCTAGTAACTTAGGATCAATCTGTCCTGTCACTGATAGAATTCCTAAATCTTGTCACAAATTTTTCGTGCTTAAGTGGACCACAATACTGGCGATCGACCAAATCTATTCATGAAAGGAGAGGGACTGATAAACGGGTAATAATTGTCTAACAACTTTGATCCCATATCACAAAAGGTTAATCAATTTCAATATAGAGGATTAAATTTAGGTTGAATAAAGTTTTATTTTATTTTTAATTCTATTTTTATTTTTATTTTAATTTTTAGGATTGGTAAATCTTAGAATTTACTTCTTTTTTAATTTTAATTTCATTTTTATTTTTATCCTGTAATTAATCCTCAAAATGTTTCTTTTTTAAATATTTTTGAGTTTTGGGTCTTTATTGTCAAAAAGTAAAAAAGGAAAAAGGGGGGAGCGGCCTTATTGGAATGTATATAAAGGGGGAATGTGCGGTCAAAATCTCCTTCTTCACTTTTACTTCGACCACACACTCTTCCATTTTCTCTCTCTCTAAAATCTTCAAGAACACATCTCATCTTTCGTGAAATTAAAGCTTAATATTCGTAAGTATCATGAAATCGACTCCCATAATACAGTTTTTTGAGCAAAAACGACATTGAATCGATGGTCAATTGAAGGAATTGGTATCAACTTGCATGTGCGGCTGGACCGTGTGCGGTTGACCCGTGTGCGGTTGACTCCTGTGTGGTTGACTCGTGTACGGTGGGACCCGTGTACGGCCGCACCATCCGTGTGCGGTTGGACTCATGTGCGGTTAACACTGTGTGTAGTTGGAGTCGTTGTGTAACAGTACACCGTGTGCGGCCGCACACCTTGTGTGTGTGGCTGAATCTAGGTGTATGGTTGCATACCTAAAATTGATTTAAAATTTTAATTAATGGGAAATCTCTTAATTTTTCTAATGCTTTAAATTTATACTTGCCTTTTTCAGAAAATCATAGGAGATTCTGAATTCGCAAAAGTGCACAACTTGGCCATTTTTCTAGAAGATCCTCCAGTGGCCCATAACGATCTCAAATTTATTGTCGATGGTCTAAGAAAATGTTGCTTGGTCTCTGCTTTCACATTTAGTCCAGCAATTTATCAAAATCTGATTAAAGAATTTTGGAGATGCGCATCTGTGAAAAGGAACAATGACGATGAGAAATATCTTGAGGCATATGTACAAGGAAAGAAAGTATTAGTCTCGGAAGACATCATTCGAGAAGCCCTTCAAATTGGTGATAAGCATGAATATCCAAGGGAAATTGATGTTAACCAGATTCAAGAAGTTCTTGGACAAATGGGCTATGAAGGAACATTTCCACCTACCCACAAGAAGCTATTGCCACCTTGTTGGAAATATTTGGCTCATGTTTTTGTGAGTTGTATTTCAGGACGCAGATCTGGTGCTAACGAGATATCCCTGGTGAATACTGGTGCCATCACTGCTTTGGCCTCTGGTGTAAACTTTAATTTTTCAAAATTTATCTTGCATGATATGATTTTGAATATTGAAGGAAACAAAAGGGACAAGTTTCTGATGTATCCAAGGTTTATCCAACTGATCCTTAACATCATGCATCTTAAGATTGAAAGGAAAGGAGAGACCCTAGATATCAAGTCAGTCGGCCCAAGTGCTTTTGGTTTAATGAAGCAAAAGAGATCAGGAAAGCTCAACTTTGAAGGAAAACATCCTTTAATCAGATTTGGTATCTTTGCCGAGGAGAGTGATGAGTCAGAACCCAACGAATCTTCTTGTCCTATGGAGACTGACAATGTGGTCATCTCTACTTCTGAACCTGAAACTGAAGAAGGTTTAAACTCTCCTGTGGCCAGAGTTGCATCAGAACATGAAATGATACAGATTGTGGAAGATGAGAGTGATTTTGATGTAGATAGAGATAAAGGAGAACGTGAAGGAAATGACGAATTTCTACATGACAGGGACTTCTCAGGCCTTGACAATGTTGCCATTCCCCTCAACTTCGATTTTGAACATGAAGTTGAACTTGACACAGGTCTGGATCTCTCCGACAGGTTCTTCGAAAAGGTCGATGAAGTTGCTCAAACTGCAACCGAGACTAGGGCTACAAAGAAGACTCTTAAAACTATGTCTCCTTCGTCTACCCAAATGGAAGAAAATTTAAGTACAGATTCAAGGATTCCTCCCCTAGATTCTACTATTCCTACATCAATTCCTTTTTCAAGTATCTCGACACAGACGCAGACCTCTCTGCCTCCCGTACAAGGCATCAAAATTTGAGGCAGGGAGTGTTCACTCAAAGCCAGTCACCACCTGTTTCAGCCACTGTTATCACCACAACTGTTGCAACACCACCCCTCCAATCCAATGAAGGTCCAAGTACCATGCTTGAGACAGGAGGACCATCTAATGTTCCAGAATATTCTCCAACGAGACCGTCGCTAGATGAGGCCTCAATCAGACTCGCTAAGCTTTTGTCTCAACATAGTCCAGAATCTTCCTCCCGTGGAAAGGGAATATCTTTCGAGGAAGGTCACTCAGGGAATGATAATCCTTTAGTGTCCAAACTTCAAGAAGAAATTGGCATTCTGAAGCAGCAAAACATTGAAAAGGACATCTTGTTGGAACAACATGGCAACCTTATCGCTGAGCTTCAGGCAGAGAATGCCTCAAAGTCAAAACAGATTACTGACCTGCAAACCAATCTTGGGTCAGTAACTGCTTTTTACTTTGACTTGAAGAACAAGCTTTTTGACGCTTTTGGGGATAAGCTTAAATCTCTGTTTCAACAGCCTCATGGTATTGAAGATCCTCCCACTGCTTCCTCTCAACCTTCAGAAAGCGACTTTCCTGTTAATCCACCTCCTCCAAGAACAACAACCATCGTTGATCGGTTTGAAAAGGAACCCGAAAATGCCAGACCTCGGATAACAATCAGGCATGGAAAAAGGACCGTCACTGCAAACCAAAATGAAGGATTACTCTTTATGAAGAATTCAAACGAAAATCGCAAGTCAAAGGATCCTGAATTGACAGTGACGGATCTTAAAAAATGAAAGTTTGGTGACGAGTATGGAGATCGCTCCGGGATCAGAATGTGGGGTTATGATCCTGAGTCTAATCTATGGGTGGTTAAGAGGAATTCTGGTCACTCTGAATACTACAAAAACACCCATGATTTTAACTCATGGACGAAGGTCGATCTCTCTGAGCTCTCAAGAGCCCCATTCCACAATCCCTCTAACGATCCTAGCGCTACAAATTTCAAGCAGTTCCTGGACAGACAGGTCAGGGATAACTTCCCATCAATGAAGACGGCAATAGCGCTGGTTATAAAGGATAAGGATATTATTGATCCTGAAACTAACCGACCAATGAAGATCATGTTGTGGCCTGCTACAAATCAAGTCAAGGAGATTCCCATTCCACAACATTTTCAGGATGGATATCTTGACGATATGGAGTTTTGGGCATTTGATGACGAAACGGCAACTGCGGCAATAAAGTTCAAAAACAGCGACATCGTTGTGAGGCTCGTCTGCGCAAAGGATCTTCTGAGATTCAGGGAGAGAGACATTCATACCCTAGCTCGTCACCAAATTATTTGCAGAAAAGAAGTCATGGAGGTTGCAGCCAAGGAATTCACTGGGATGGTCGCCACTATCATAAATGGAAAGCTTTGGATGGGATCCATGGGAAAATCTGACCTGAAGCTGTTCGATAATCCTGGAGAATGAAGACCAAGTCTATGCTAGCCTCAAACCAAAGGGGAGATTGATAGGCTATAATTATGTGGTTTGGGCTAGGCATTCTAATGTATAGGTCTTGGTAGGATGATAGGGAGTGTTGTGGTGATTGTAACCTGTTAGTGGGTGTGTGCTGTCGTACATGTGTACACGTGTGTGCGGTTGCACACTTGTGTGCTGCTTCAGGTGGTATAAATAGTCTAAGTCTGTGTCAGTTGAATAGTGACGTATGTATGTGTTTCCCAAGGTGTATCTGACATTTATGTGATATAGATGTGTGCATGTTTGGCTTAATTCTCTTTCTACTTCTTCTACACTCTGTTTGATTGTTTGCAATTCATTGATTACTGATCTGGATCTATAGATCGGGACTTACAATAATAGACTTGCAAATACGTTGTCCATACAAAGAAAGCCTACCGGTTAAGGTGATAAATTACATAAAAGAAGTTTACGGTTCAAAATTTGACAATCCTAAAATATTGCTAGTGCTCTGAGATTTACCCCATGTGTTGTGACTTGGGACGGGTATAACTGGGCCGCCTAGGATGCAGTTTTCCCTTACTTTTTTTCAAATACACATAAATATATGTTAGGTATATATCGACACATACAACACAACATAAGACTCTTGAAAAAATATAAATAAATAAAGGATTAGAATTATATAAAACTAGATTTTACTATTTTGGGCCTAAAATTTTACTATTTGGGCTAAGCCCAAAAGTTTCTTCTTGGGACTAAAAACTCCATATAGTTATCCAGTACTCAACAATACATACACACATACAATTTTGTTATTTCTACACACTAACAATGATATTTGCCACACATGACTGAAAAACTCTTTTAGCAACAAGCCATGTGCATGAAAGCTTAGCAGCAACTGAATCAACAACGACACATTTTCATGACAGAAATTCAATAGTCATGTCTGCTAAGACCCAATTTGGGACAAGAAGATGGGGTGAAAGAGAAGAAAAAGTATTAAGATCATTGTTGTTATTGCTGATTCACGTTTAACATTGTAAGGAAACAAGAATTATTTTTGTCATTATATTCAGCACCCGAAAAACTAAAACATAATCCGATCTTTATCTTTATTAAAAATAGTAATACAATCAAGAACATGTTTTAGAAACTGAAATAATGCACAACACCCGAAAACTTTTTAAAATTTACAGTGATGGCAAAGCTTGCTCCTTGAGTGAATCTTGAACTGCTTTCAAGACAGCTGGCATAAGTTTGCGATTGGTAACAATGATACCTGTGTCCAGATCAAGATACCTTCCTTTTGAAAAGTCTAAAGGCTTTCCGGAAGCATCCGAGGCAACACCACCCGCTTCTGCAATAAACTCATCCAAAAACAAAATTAAAATTAAAATTACAAACATACTTTCATTCATTCCTTTTTGTTAAAAAAAAATGAAAAATCCACCCAATTACAGCAATTCCTATATTGGGTATAACATCAAAGTAAAAAGAATATGAAAAGATAAAACAAAAAATTGAAGAGTAAATTATACGAATGGTCCCTATGGTTTGGGATAATTTGCACGTTTGGTCCCTAACTTATTTTTTTTAATCTGAAGGTCCCTACTGTTTGTTTTTGTTGCGCACTTGGTCTGTGTCTTACTTAAAAAGACTATTTTTCCCTTGATTTTTTAATTTATTTAAATAAACACACCCCCAACGCCACTTCCAACTCACCTTACCTTACCTTACCTACCCCACCTTACTTGAATAAATTAAAAAATCAAGGGCAAAATAGTCTTTTTATGTAAGATACGGACCAAGCGCGCAACAAAAACAAACTGTAGGGACCTTCCGAGTTAAAAAAAATAAGTTAGGGACCAAACGTACAAATTACCCCAAACCATAGGGACCATTTGTGTAATTTACTCAAAATTGAAAGAAGTGAAATATTTTTTTTACCTGCAACAACAATGTATCCAGCAGCATGGTCCCATATCTTCTCACGGTATCCTTTATTTGGAAACCGTAAATATATGGCACCGTCTCCTCTTGATAAAGCTCCATATTTTGCCTGGCTGTCAATTCTGACAGGTGGCGCTTTAACACCCAATTTCTACAAAATAAAATAAAATAATAATCATTTATTAGTCTCAAAATATGTATTTGTTACATATTGCAGCTATTATCCCCTTTTCAAATAAACAAACTTACATTTGCTATAGAACCAGATAAGCTATGAGACGAATGAGCAGCTTCATATGATTCAAAAAAGGAAGCTTCTTCAGGATTTTCTGTGTCGCTAACATGCACCTAAGGGGTAAACAAAAATACTCATGTTACAAGGGCAAATTTGTAACTTTCTCTATTTAATCATTGTTTTTGCATTAAGTCAAAATGAAACAATCATAAGTTTTGTCTCCATTAAGTAAAAAAGAAACAGTTTCTTGGATAAATAAGATATTAAGTTTTTTTTTTGTACCTTGACAGGTGGCGAGCCAGATAAAGACTCCATGTATGTCCCACAAGATAATTGTGCATAGAACAAACATCCGGATGATGATTTAGTGAGAGCATTTTGATTTTTGTTGTTAATGGATTCTAATGGAAGATTTGGACATGCAAGGACACCTAATACAACTTTCCCTTCATCTAGTAGACCTAATGCTATTGCATATTGGTCACCCCTTAGAAAACTGCATCCAAACCAGTTGAAAAAACTTTAGCCATTTGAAAAAAAAGGGCTAAATGCAAGAAATAGCAATACACTTTCATTTCTTTCAATTACAACAATGTACTTTTAAATCTTTTTTTTTCTTGTTTAGCCATTTGTATTTTGAAAAAATCTACCAATTATAGAAAAAATTGTACTGTTTAGACTGACAGTTGAAAACCATACATTTCAATTTTAGAATCGATGTGAATGTTTTCAATCATTAGAATCAATCAGCAGACATGTTAAATTCATGTAAAATATGTTTGCTATTAAGTCAAAAGGAAATAGCAGCTTACCCTTTAGTGCCATCAATAGGATCTAGAACCCAATGTTGACCATTTGACCCTCCTTCAGATGTACCACAGTCTATGATAGTAAGCACATCGGATTCAGATAAAGGAGACACTTTATAACTTCCATCACTAGCTATAGTATCATTCACTAGTTTCGTGATACGTTGAAGGGTTTCTTGAGAATCTTCTTTTCTAAGATCTCCAGAATCCTAAAACAATCAAACACCCAATCCCATTGACTTATATTTATAGAAAAAAAAATGTAAAACAAACTAAAACAAATAAGGTTGAAAATTACTTCCTCAGCCACAAGTGAGAATGCCTGTGAAGGAAGTTCTTGTTGAAGAACAAAGCTCACTAGAACTTGGGACCCTGATAATCAGATTAGAGCATATTAGAGTCTTTAAGCAATCACATTTCTGGACTATGGCCCATGGGCATATGCGTAATTTCCTTCTACTGTTCTACATGTATGCCCTCTGTCTAGACAAATGAAAGCATAAAAAGATCAAAAGACATACCATAATCAGCCACAGTGACAGGACTTTTATCAGATTTTGATTGGACATCAGATTGCAAAAGCCCTTTTTGCACATTCTACAAAACAAGTATCAGTAATCAGTTAAACTTCACACGCTAAAGAAATAAAAGATTTAGACTCAAGTCACTCAACTTATCTCAACAATGCATTAGGGTTTTCAATCATTCTTCTAGAGATATATTGAATTGTAAGTGAAATTTATCAAAGATTTGGCGAACATAATTGTAGCACCCAAAATCAAACAAAATAAAGAATGTGAAGCCAATTCACAGAAATTCAACTAAAAGCCTAATTTCTCTTCTGGGTACGATTGAATCACCAAATCAATCATCACAGATCTGTTATACATCTGCAACACTGAAAGCCAACAATATGAACACTTTGATATAATACTCACAGAAGCTCCACTAAAAAGCACAATATCTTTTCACGATACGACTCAATTACAAACAACAATCATCAATTCGAACAAACAAGTTCTAAAACAATCATCTCGACAGGTTTTCTCGCGATTAAGTAACTGAGATAGATAGAGAAAGATGCCTGGCATAGGAGAGAAGCAAGGGAAGCCGCTTTCTTGGCAGCAATGAGCTGTTTATCGTAAGACATTGCTCTTGAAGAAGTAAGTGAAGCAGCGGATGATGATACGATTGGGGAATACGAAGATTTGAGTGAGAAGAAAGTGAAAAGTGGTTTGGTAGCTGAAACTAAACTGGGGTTTAATTTTGAAGATGGGTTTATATGGACAAGTCGGGCGACTGCTGTTATAGACGCCATTTCCCCCACCTGCAAAGTGCAAAAAAGCAATGTTCGCGGCCCGTTGTGATTGATGATACATGGTGACCCACTTTACTCTCTTTCCTAAAAGTAACAAAAATAGTTTTGTTTTGATTTGCTATGAACAAAAATATCATAATTTAAGTGAAAATTATTTATTTTTTCAGGATTTGCTATAAGAAAAAAAAACATCTTATCAAATTTTACGTGAAATTTATTTATTTTTAGATTAAATAACTTTTCATAATAATGATATTGACTAAAATTTATAATCTTTTTATTTTTATTTCAATACATATTTGATTACCGGTTAAAAATTTGGGATCAGATTTTGAGAATGTTGGGGGAATATTAGCAGGGTGATGGAGGAACTTGGATTGGATCGTGTATGTTCACTTTTCGAACTGATATTTTCACCTTATGTCTAGGTTACAGGAAATTCAGTCTAAGATAATTGTGAGATATGGGCCTCGCCCACACTCAGCTACTAATCAATACACATATAACATATACAGGTCGGCATTGGTGCCTTCGATCCGTTCAAACCAGGAGGAAAACTCACATCGCAAAGCTGACTGTGAAATCTCGCGGTGAGGAATCTCTAACGGTTGCTCCAACGACTCCTCGGCTATCATTGTCACAATAACACTTAGTCAAAATCCAATAATCCTTCTTAGGGTAAAATGACCATTTTACCCCTGGTCAAAGTCAACATTTTGGGTTGACTCAACTCACCGAGTTGACCCATCAACTCACCGAGTTCCTTAAATCAGAAACCCTGAAATCGCGTTCCAACTCGTCGAGTTTTCCCTGTCATCAGAATCGGGACTTTCCAGTTCCACTCGACGAGTCCGTCCTGAACTCGTCGAATTTTTTCTTCTACGGGGTCGGGACATTTCGACCCAACTCGTCGAGTTCCTCTGTGGACTCGACGAGTTCTTCAGTCTATTAAGCCATCGTAATGGATTAAGATCCTATTCTTCAGATCTAAACTCCATACTTCCCATATACACTGAAAATGCCCTTTTATGGGTAAAGTTTCCAACTTTACCCATTAATACCCTCACTTAACGAGTTTAGCTCAAACCCTAACTCTTTAGGAACTATATCTTGATCCTAAAGCCACCAATACTCTAAACCAAGGCATATAAACTGAGATATGGACCCTAGACACTACATAAATACGTAAAGCTTCCACCTTTCCCTCCATGTATGGCCTTTTGGAGCTTAAAAGGCCAAAATGACATCCAATAGCTTGCAGGGGGCTTCAATGGCCATAAAGTTTGCACCTTTATGCCATGAAAGCCCTCCATAGTTCTAGATCTGGAAGTATACTCACTTAGGACGTCCATTTCCCAAGGATCATGGTATTTTGACCAAAACCCCAATAAAAGTGATAGAGAAGAGATCCAAGAAATCATTAAGCAAGTTTGAGACTTGCTTACCAGAAAATGCTGAGAATGAAATGAAGTTGTTGGATCTAATATCTCCTTCTTGAGTCTTCAAGCTTCTCCTTCTTCCACAAGCTTCACACACACAAGATTTCTCTCACAAATGACTCACAAACTCACACAATGCATTACGGTTTCTAGGGTTTGGGACTTGGAGGCTGGAAATGAGGCCAGCATGTGGGGTTTAGGATGCTTAAATTGATGGGTTTTAGGTAAAACAAATAAACTAGAAAACAATTCCTAAGTTCACATGCAACCTAATTTGGATCTATGTTTTAACTATTGAACATATAACTTTGAATTGCAAAACAAGAACCCTAGAGGAGAGAGGCTAATTTCGAAATTAACAAACTAGGGTTTAGGAGTTACATACCTTTCAATTGTTATAGCAAACAATTGATAATCCTCTTGATCTTGATCTTGATCTTCTTGGAAGCTTAGCACCACAAATGTAATGCCTCTAATGGAATCACACCCAAGAACTAGCAAGAAGGAAACTTGGAGGAGAGAGGATGGAGAGAGTATGCAATTTCGGCCTTAGGGTTTCTTCCAAAGAAATCAGTGTCCTCAAATGTGGGCCAGGAGGCTCCTTAAATAGCTGAAGGATCTAGGGTTTAGGGAAAACCCTAGTTATCCTTTGCTTAGGGCCTAAGCAAGATCCAAAGGCCTTATTTGGACCCCTTGGACGAAATCTCTAGGGTTTCCCCTAAGAATTTCGTCCACCTCCTTCCAAGGGGGTTCTGGAACCTTCCACTCAACTATTAGTTAATTGCAAACTAGTCCCTGCACTTTCAATTAATTCTTTTAACCCCAAAATTAATTCTGATTAATTTCTGGCTAACTATTAATTAATCATAATGATTTCTAATTAATATATTAATCTTTTAACATATTAATAAATCATTTATATTAATTTATTAATCTTATAAATTAATATCTCTCCTTTCATAATTTCCTTGTCCAGTTGCTAGGTTGAGGGCAACCCAAAAGGACTGTGCTGCTATCAATTCAAGTACATACCAATTATAGTTATGGGCTTAGACACCTAATCCAACAGTCTCCCACTTGGATAAGTCTGTAACTATAATTGCTAGTATGCCTTCTAAATTTGACCAGCAAATTGTAGCTTCCAAAAGCTGCTGCCGAACTCTGACCGGGTCAGTTACGTGTCCTAAGATACGTGATCATATAATCCTTCGTTCTGCTGGATATCCCTAGACATAAGACATGGAATGTAATCAATCTCTTTGTCCAGAATCTATGTTTCCCGATTCCTGATTTGTGATGATGTAGGACTTCTAATCGAACACATCAATTTAGTCCTGGCTGGGCCCAACACATAAGTCAACACCAAATCATCGAGGGGCCCACAGATATCGCTTTTCCTGTTAGGGCAAAAGGAACAAAATAAACGTTGACTCATATGCTTGTATCTTTTACTCATCAAATTATACATGACAATACGTTTTATAACACCAAGTTACTGATGCGTTTTCGTATCACCAATGCATAACCGACTTGTAAATTACAACTCATATATCTTCGTTTCAAGATTATAAGATATTATCGTCTCAGTATCACTCGTGATGAATTCCATGAAGTGATACTCAGAGCGAGGGTTTATCCAATACTCAAATCTCAATTTCTGAGTACTCATGAATGTTGCAGCAATTCTATTGCCATGTCTATCCTTAGACAATCTACAATCCAGTTCATGACAATCTTAATTCACTACTTACTTCCAAAAGTACGAGCGACTGTAGAGTTTGAATAATCTTATTATTCAAGAAGTAAAACATGCAAAATATGAAACACAATAATAAACAATTGACAGAAGGCAGTAACCAAACTTATAAACAATACTTTATTATTTAATCACCAAAAGTCAATTACTTTTACTTTGTTACAAGAACAAAACTAATCTAACTACTAAAACTAATATCATCTTTCAGTCCTATGCTCTGAGCATGCTGAATGTGCTTAGCCCTACTCAGACCCTTTGTGAGGGGATCTGCTGGGTTATCTTCAGATGACACCCTCTTTACTATAAGATGGCCTTCTTCTACTCTATGTCTGATGAAATGGTACTTTCTGTCGATATGTCTGGTCTTACCATGATCTATCGGTTCCTTTGTCAAGGCAACCGCTCCTTCATTATCGCAGAACAGTTCCATAGGCTCCTGGATGGTTGGAACAACTCCGAGATCTCCGATGAAGTTCCTCAACCAAGCTGCTTCTTTCGACGCTTCACTCGCTGCTATGTACTCTGATTCACAAGTAGAATCAGCCACCGTATTTTGCTTGGAACTTTTCCAAGTAACCGCTCCTCCATTCAGTAAGAATACCCAGCCTGACTGAGAACGGAAGTTATCTCTATCCGTCTGAAAGCTGGCATCACTGTAACCATCTACTCTCAAAGTATCATTGCCACCAAGTACAAGGACCCAGTCCTTTGTCCTTCGCAAATACTTGAGTATATTCTTTAACTGCTATCCAATGAGCTCTACCTGGGTTTCCCTGATAGCGACTGACCATGCTCAAAGCAAATGCCACATCAGGGCGAGTACATGTCATAGCGTACATGATCGATCCGACAGCGGAAGCATAAGGTACACGACTCATGTCATCTATTTCAACATCTGTACTCGGGCATTGAGTCTTACTCAATTTGGTATTGCTCTGGATAGGTAGCTCTCCCTTCTTGGAATTTTCCATACTAAACCTCTTTAGTACCTTATCAAGTATGTGCTCTGACTAAGTCAATTAGTCTCTTCTTTCTATCTCTCAATATTCTAATCCCAAGAATATAGGCAGCTTCTCCAAGGTCTTTCATGGCAAAACACTTTCCAAGCCAAGACTTAACTTCTTTCAAGGTTGGAACGTCGTTACCAATGAGTAATATGTCATCGACATACAACACCAGAAAAGTTACTATACTCCCACTAGCCTTGATATACACACAGAACTCATCTTCACTTCTAGAGAAACCAAACTCTTTGACTTTCTCATGGAAGCAAAGATTCCAACTGCGAGATGCTTGTTTCAATCCATAAATGGATTTCTCAAGCTTGCACACTCTATTGGGGAACTTTGCATCAACAAAACCCTCTGGCTGACTCATGTAAACATCTTCAGCCAACTTCCCATTAAGGAAAGCAGTTTTGACATCCATCTGCCAGATTTCATAATCATGAAAGGCAGCTATGGCGAGCAATATCCTAATAGATTTAATCTTAGCCACTGGCGAGAAGGTCTCATCATAGTCAACCCCTGGGGTTTGAGTGAAACCTTTTGCAACCAGTCGAGCCTTGAATGTGTGCACATTTCCATCCATGTCTGTCTTCTTCTTGAAGATCCATTTGCACCCAACTGTCTTACGACCTGGTGCACTATCAACCAAATTCCAAACTTGGTTGTCATACATGGACTTAATCTCGCTGTCCATTGCCTCTTTCCACTTGGAAGCCTCTGGGCCTGCCATTGCTTCCTTATAAGTGACTGGTTCATCTAAGTTTACCAGTGTTCTGTCACTTATGAATGTGTCACCATCTGAAGTAATATGAAAACCATACAACTCAGGTGGCACACTCACCCTAGTGGATCT